GCTTTGCACGTGTGATTGTCCCACGTTGGAGCCTGTTTGCTCCCTCGCTTTGCGCTTTTGAAGTCCAAGCGGACTGTTTGTTTTGGACGCGTATCTACTGTCGAGGTTTGTACAAATTGTGAATTTCTCTTACCCTAATAGTACCGTATAGAAACCCAGCTCCGACTTTGTTTTGCCTACCCGGAGGTTCTGGTATTACGCGTCACTCGAAGATACCGTTCGACCGTTACAGTACTCGACATCTTACGTCGTCTTGTTTGAAGGAAAGATGTCAACCTTTGGAACAACTGTGAAGGAAACCGGATCCAAGGACACGGAAACGATTGAAGCTACGGAAGAAACAGTTGCAATGCAGTTTGCTTCGCGCCCTGGTTCTTGTAAGTCACTTTGTGCTTCTAGTCGTAAAGGTAGTGTAGCCATGAAAGCTTTAATGATTGCTCAGCTCCAGGAGTACCGGGTTAAGCGGGAGGTCGAACTCCAGCGGGCTCTCTTAGAGGCGCATAGCAAAACTGAGTTAGCCAAAATTGAGCTAGAGGCCGAAGAGGATTCACCAGATGAAGTCTGGGAACCAGTGGCCCTAAATGAACGATTAGCGGGGTACGTGAAGCAATGTCAGACAGGTGAAAGACCATTAAGATATGCTGATGATATCAGAGGGCCAGAACCAGCCATCTCCGTCACTCCAGCATCAGCCACTATGGACCTACCAAAGGTGGAACTATCATACTTTGATGGTAATCCGTGTCATTACTGGAGGTTCACCCGCCAATTTGAGTTATATATTGAGAGCAAGGTGCAGGACGCCGGTCAGAGGCTCCTTTATCTGATCCACTACTGTCAAGGCGACGCGAAGGTGGCCATTGAAGAATGTGCGATGCTTCCGCCGGAAGTAGCATACTCCAGGGCACGGGAGATTCTACGCAATCTCTTTGGCCAGCCTCATATTATCGCTTGCTGTCTACTAGAAAGCCTGTTTCGTTTTGCACGACAGACCACTGGAGCATCCATGTCTTTGTCGGACTTGTGCATAAAAATGCGCAGTTGCGAAATTGCGCTGACGCAAATTTGTTACGTTTCAGAATTGCACTCACTAGCGGTTGTAGGGGAATTGCGCGTTCTCTTCCCTCGCCATTGGAGCACAAATCGGCTGAGGTGGCAGGCAAGATATCTGTGAGTGGCCGGGACCCAACGTTCACAGACTTGATGGAGTCCGTGAACACGCGCTCCCAAGGTGCAAGGAGTCGGTTCGGGCAACTGGCTCGAGAGGGGGACTTGAGACGCCCCCTGTAACGCCGACTTCTACCAACCAAACCTCTGGACGGAATTGTTATACCAGTTTCCTTAATAACATCAGACCAGACGCAGACGGTCGTTCAAGTGCTTGCGCATTATGTTCACAGCCCCACCCAATTTCCAGTTGCCAGCGCTTTCTGTCTATGAAAGTTCCTGACGGATGGAAATGCATACGGGAGCATAATGCATGCTTTGCCCGTTTAGGAGACTCCCACATGGCCAAGGATTGCGAGCCAGTATTTCGATGCGCCAAGCTGGGTTGTAGGGGACAAAATCATGGTTTTTACATATATCACAACCAGGAAACAAAGCTTCGACGTCCTCAGATGTGGAGGTCTTGTGTGCCTTAACTCGAGGTAGTCGGCTTCCGGCACACCTAGGAGTCATTCCTGTCAAGCTTGACAGTCCTGCGGGAAAGGTTATAACGTATGCATTTTTAGATGCTGAGTCCGACATAACGCTAGTAAAGTGGCATTTTGTGCGTGGGAGGCAGACTAAGTTACTCGAACTACAGTCAGTCAGTCAAACATCCAGCTCTTTGGAGCTGAAATCCAGTTACTGCCTTGATCATACGTCACCTTCATGAAGTAGACAAGCACTGTGGAGTAGGGCAGGTCTTGGACTCTACTCGACTGCGATATTAGATTATCAATGGGACCGGCGCCGTCAAGCAAGTGATTGGTGTGTGCTCTTTATGCAGGCGACGGTCCGCACAGCTCGGTACACAAATGATGGCTTCATTACCGGCAGACAGAGTAGGAGTGGGTTGGTGCCCCTTCGAGTTCGTGGGGGTGCACTACTTTGAACCTTTTGAGACCAGACGCGGCCGTTCGCAGGAAAAATGCTATGGTTATATCTTAAGAAGCTAGCCACCGTAGTGGTGTTTTGTAGCGTATAAGCAGGTCAATGCGATGTATAATTTTGTCTATGCAGGGAACAGTGTGTGACCGATGAACAACTGAACACGTTCCTTATACAGGCAGGACGGATTCTAACTAACCGACCTATAATCCCGCTTTCACCAGCCAGCAACGAGTTGGAGCCGCTTACTCCAAACAGTTTGTTGCTCATGAGGTGCTGTCCTGCGGTACTCGGTCGCGACTGTTTGGCGCCGCGATATCATACCGGTTGCAAACAGGTCACTTATCTCGCTGGCGTGTTCTGTCGTCGTTGGACCAGGGAATATCTGCCAACGTTGCAGGTGCGTACCAAATGGCTTAGAGCGACTCAAGAATTGAAACGAGGGGACTTAGTTCTGGTTTCTGGTGAGGACCTGCCTCGTGAGAAATGGCCTCTAGGGGTGGTAGATAGTTGTGAGGCGAGCCCAGATAGCTTAGTGAGAACCCTGCATGTTAGAACTGCGGGCGGCCTTCTTAAGAGAGATATTAGAAAGGTGTGTTTATTGGGGGGACGCGAATAGGTTTTTACTCCATCGAAGTCGGCACTTGTGGCAGGAGTGGACTCGGAAGATTCGTGTAGGTGGCTGATGGGGTACCTTAGAATGGAGCTGAGCGTGGGTAGAAGGCAAGAACCGGGGCGCCCGCTGAATCAACGTGGAGAATTTGGCAAGCGGTGTATCATCCGTTATGTTGACAATGAAATTCCCCACGTTTATTCTGTCCCATTTGTAACCCCCGCCCCACTTTTGTGTTTAGTGTGTATATATG